TTTTTTCTAGAAAGAGTGATTACTTGGGTGTTTCAGAGTTTCCACATCAGTCTTAAGGGGAATGTAAACTGCTTTATGATGTTCCCTAGTCTTCTAAATAGTTACAGATAGAGACGGTGTTTTATTATGTATTATGTAGTCCAAATGTTTCCTGGCTGTCAGAAGGATGAGGGAAAGGGCAGAAGGAAAATCATAGATACCCATGTATTGTATTGAGTTATTGTCTTCAGTGACATTAAACTCTCTAGGGTGGAGAGGTTAAGTGCAGACGAGTGATCACTGAGTTTGCGTGGAAACCATGTGGTTCCTGTCTGCAGCGTGCTACATATATTCTGCTTTAAGTACAATTTACCTGTGATAGTTTTCAATAAAAATTACTTAATTACATGCAGATATCTTCACTGTCTCCCTCCTACAGCCAAGTACCAAAGTTATATAGCTTGTATACAGGCATTGGGAGTATTCTATTACAAAATTACTAATTATGGTCTTTAAATAATGCCTTTTTCCTTTAGCAGACAAATAATAATACTTGTCTATTATGTTTAACCACTTATTGCCTACTATTCACACTTACACTGACTATAAAATTACTCATTAAATATTGTTTTCATTGCCTCTGGCCTTTTTATCAACACTCGTTCAGAGTCTCACAAGCAGCAAAGATAAGGATTAGTTTTCTCAGTTCTTTGAGATAAGGTGATATTAGATCTGTGTTACAACAAGTTTGCGCATTTTAATGTTTTCACAGTAGGATGTATAGAAAAGGAATTTACCTTTGGAAGTAGAGTTGTTATCCTTACAATTACTTTCACCAGTCCTATCTAGAAATGACTGTAAATACCAGTGTTATGGCAATGAATTCTAGTTGTGTACGTGTCCAGGCCTTGTTGATTTTTGCTGGGTTTTGATAATGTACGTCATAGAGTATTTCATAGAGTATTGATAGGTGTTAATAGCTCTAGAATGAAAGATATTTTCTTTTCATACTCAGTGACATTTAATATAAGAGGTCTGTTACAAATAAATCATATACATACCTTAGTTTGTGTGAGTTTTCAGCTTGATACAGTGATGACTTTGCCGTATAAACATATTCTCTCTTGTGGTTGAAAGTTAACAGCATGGATTTATGCAAAGTTTATAAAAAATGGAACCTATGCTGTTATCTTCTGATGCAAGCATGCCTCCTTGGGGCTTCTGTGTTTCCATTTTCTTAAATCCTCAGGCAGAATTGTGGAAATATGCATAGTTTGATTGTGGATGAGCTGTGTATTTCATGCAAACACAGGTCAGATTCATCTGGAGCTTCTGTCTCAGGTTGCTGAAAGTCTGAACATGTGTTCCCGCAGAGAGAAGCAGTGAATAATGCTGTATTATCCTCTTCAGTACATGTATCAGATAGGGTTCTAGAATTGGATATAATTGCCCCAAGGTTTCTTGAATATGACTGTAAAAGAAAGAGCCTGATGCATACAAATCTCGGAAAGTAACAGTGGTATTAGAATTTGAATTCATACTTCAAATTTAATACATTGGAATAAGGTAACTCTTTAAATAGAGAAAACTCAAATTTGATGAATAATATAAATGAAAGTAAAACATTTCAAAGAAAATCTACCCTTCTGACGAGCTCATTCTTGAAAAAGAGGGTCCTTCGCTCCTGTCCTGCTTGCACAATGTGTGTTATTGGCTTAGGCTACTCCCGTTGCTTGCATTATTTGCTAGGTAGCTGAAAACATCTCTTACTGCTTCAGAAACTTGGCTATTTTCTGTTCTACAGGCAACATCTCCCTGTTACTCTCAGGAGTTTGTCTCCCCTTTCCTTTCTCTCCAGTCTGATAGTACTTGAAGAAAAGAGTCTTTCACGAGACAAAATTTTACTTGAAACCTTATCTATGTGATATAATGAATAAATAAGAAATAATGTGTTTCAGGTAAGATGTGAGGAATTCGTATATGAGTAGTGTTACATTGATAGTGAAAGAAATTAGAATGTTTAAACTTGTTATGTTTATTGTAGTATTTTCTAGTGAATGGCAACCTCTTAAAATATGAGTTTTACTACTGTAGGTAAGAAGATTTCCCCTGTAAGACAGAGCAACTCCTTTGTTCTGAACTTAGATTTAGATATCTTCAGATATCCCAAGAACTTCCTAGAGAATTTAACTTTTTAGTCATGTCACTAATGTAAAACTACTGCAAGCAAAACTCCTGTTCTTGTTCATGTGTGACCATGCTTATGGAGTATTGCAGCTCAGGATCTCCTGGGATCTTTCTGCTTCCATCCTTTTTCCTATTAGCTTATTAGTCTACTTTGTTTCTTCTTAGTCTACAGTTTTTCCTGTTAACCTATTAGCCTATGTTTTGTGCACAGTTACATGCAGTTTTACCTCTTATTACTTACACACCTCTACACCCTGATGTCTAATTGAAAAATTTAAGGACAGTGAGCAGATTCAGATACTGAGTGTTACACAGCTGTCAACCTCTGGAGCTCGAGAAACCTCTGACAGCTGAGAGTATTCAGTTGCTCTTGGGGAGTTAGTCATTTGCTTTTCCTTCAGAAGATGCCACATTTCCATGCTACAACAAGCAGGTCAGGACAAGTGCACAGTATTTGTCACAAGCTCCCATGCTCACTCTGACAGAACTTACAATTTGGTAAATTGTCAGTCCTGGTGTACTAATGAAATATTCAATACTAGTTTTGTGACAGAATACTATACATGTGTTGAGGTAATAAGTATTTTCTCATGGTGATACAGATGGCTGACATTGCTACCGATCTTTCACATTTCTTGAGTTTCAGTCCTTTGCTACCGTGTATAGCCTGTCTCCGGGTTTCTGCATACCAAAAATGAACATCTGAAAATGAGAGGAAAAATGACTTCTTAAATCTAAACATATTTCTCTGAATTCATATTTAGATATGGTTCAGGATGTAAGATTTCCTGTCTCGGATTCTGAGAAGTTTGCAACACTGTAGTAGAGAAAATATTACTACATATTGATTTGTGTTTCAAACTTAGCTAGTTAGGACAGAATTTGCTTTATGAAATGCTCTGTTTGCATCCATTCTTAAAAGCTAAAATTGAGAAATATAAGCAGATATCTGGATAAAAGAATGAGTAGTTAGAGTGTCATTTAAAAACTTGCAAAATATTGCTATTGATTTTTTTTACTCTAATGTATAAAATAATTAGCTTCAGTCCATTCTCATTATACAAAAGAAAAATGTATTACAGTGTTTTTTGCAAAAAAGAAATTGTCCTAAATTTATTGAACCTGGATTGCATCATTCATCTACTTTCCGAATCCTGCTGGCTTGTGTCCTTAATGTCCTGTGTCTGTTGCTTGTGTGAAAGTTGTTTTTTGTGGGCAACAGCAGATCTAGAGAAACTTTTAATATATTGTGAATGTTTTGTCAGTACAGGTCTCCAAGTTAGCTGATGTCATGGTCAGACATGGTGTGAAGAAAGGAGATCGTGTGGTCATCTACATGCCCATGATTCCACAGACAATGTACTGTATGCTGGCTTGTGCAAGAATAGGAGCCATCCATAGCCTGATTTTTGGTGGATTTGCGTCTAAAGAGCTTTCTGTTCGCATCGATCATGCAAAGGTAATACAAATTTGGAACAACAAACACGATTCTATCAGTTAGTCATATAAGTCAATGTTAAAAGCCTGTTCTTTTTTTCCAGAGAGGGTAACAACATTTCTTTTTGCATGGCATGCTGTCTCCATTTGTTTATAATACCTAACATTGCGATATGAACAAAATACTACATCCGTGCTGAAGTTGATACTTTTATAGCGGACAGTGAGATACAAATTTTGACCTCACTGCTGTCTGTTTAGAGCATGCTTGCTTCTCCCATTTGTCAGTCTTTTTCTACAAAGTATCACCTTAAAATTGGCTTTTCGCCGAGCATTTTCCTCAAGTGTATGGGGAAAATGGTGCCAACCCTAAATGACTTCATTGGTTTACTTGATGTTTAGAAATATTAGGTAGTACATTTTTTCAGCTGTGAATCTACTTCATCTAATTTCTTCATGAATCAAGACAGCTAGGGAACCAGTTGCCTTAAGTAAGTGACTCTGCAGAGAACATAATTAATAGAGATGAATGTTCTAAAAGCTTCTAAGTTCGGCACAAGTTGAACTTGCTTATGAAGCATTATGTAAGTCTTTGTAAGTGAAATTGCAAATAGTACTTTAATAATCTACTTAGTAGCTTATATGTGCATATCAGTAGCTTGTATATGCATTAGTTTCAAACTAGCTAACAATGTTTGTACTGGAAGTTTCTGTTCTTGTTTTCTACCAGTGAACAAGACAAAGGTCTTTGTCATCTTGATCGGTCACCTGGATCATTCAGACCATCCATGGTAGCCGTCTATCACTGAATCACGTTGGTGAGACATATAAGCCAAAATATTATGCAGGGTAAAGTCCACAGGATTTGTGGAACTTTTACTTAGATTTTTGTGTACAGAAATGCTTTTTGGATCACCAAGGCTTGAATTTTATGAATATCTGTAAAGAGAAAGTGGAATGCATCCTCCCTCCCCACCTTGATCTTTTAACAAAGAAGAAGTTAATAAAATGGCTGAAATAGTTTGTTGGAATTGTGAAAAAAAAACTGGAGGAAGGCTGACAACAGCTCCACAGTTTTCCCTTTATTCCCACTCCCCCGCTTTTTTGACAAGCTACAAAAATTAATTAGGGATCATAGAATTAGAGAAAAATAATGCAGAAGAAAAAATGATAAACTTTTAAAATGAAGGTTGCTACAATACAAATCATCTAGCATGTTTACTTTTAGAATATTTTGCAAATATTAACTAATTAATCCCAGTGGATTTTCTCTGAGGAACAAAGGGAGACAGCACAGTAAACATAATCCTTGCTTCATGCATTAAAAAGAAAACAGAGAAAGTTTAAGTGATTTATCCAAGGTCACATAGCAAGTCTTTCAAAGGTTTAGCTATAGAATTAATAGCTGCAGGCCATGGATTAAATCCTAATTTGCATTACCTTTTTGTTTCTTTAAAAGGCAGATTAAATATTGTGGATGATTTTTGATCCATCTGATGTATAATGAAAGTGTAAGTAAGGAAGAGAGGCACGTCCTCAATCAAAATTTCAAAACATCCCCCAATTTTGCAACACGGTAAAGCTTTCTTGATAAGTGAATTGCACACTACCAAGATTATCTTTAAGATATGTATATAACTAGCTGTGATAGATGGTGTTCTGCTGAACTCAGAGTTAATTGAAGCAGTTTCAAAAAAACCTAACCTTTCTAGTAGACTCTTATGTGAATTCGTTTAGATGCTGCAGTACAGGACCTAATGTTGGTAAGATTAATTAGAACGACTTAAAGAGGTGTAATGGAAAGGTGACTGTGAGATGCTCTCATGGAAGAAAGGTCAACTTCACATTTTATTGGAAGATCTAAGTGAAAGAAATAACAAGCACTTCTAGTGACTATGAAAATGTACGTATACTTTACCAGCTTGCCTTAATTTATCTTGAATTTTAAATAGGTCTGGGAATGCTCTGAAGTCCTGCAGCTGATAATTTCTAATCTTATCAGGTATTGGCAGTTACAGGCATTCTGCGGTGAATTGTGATGAAGTAATACAGAGCATGAGATCAGGCATTTCTTGTCATCTTTCCTTTCACCTGAATCTGGGAATATATAATTTGCAATATTGAAACAATAGATACTTACATAGAATCATAGAATAGTTTGGATTGGAAGGGACCTTCAAGGTCGTCTAGTCCAACCACGGCTGCAATGAGCGGGGTCCTGAGTTTACTCTTCCCCTGACCTATATCCCTCAGGACTGCAAACTGCCAGTGCATGATCAGTGCAGCCTAGGCTACCTTCAGTCTTGACATCACCGATGAGCTCACTTGCGCTGGAGACCCAACAGGTCTAGCATTGCAGTCCCTGGTAGGACTGTCTGTTACCTGGCTGAAGAAGTTATCCTCAATGCATTCCAGGAGTCTCCTGGATTGCCTACAGCTTGCCATGCTACTTTTCCAGCAGATGGAAAAGGATATTAACTATATTTTGGGACATTAATGTGACATCTGTTTAAGCACTTTATCTTAGTAAACTAGGAAAACAGAGAAGGCTACTTAAGAACAATATGCTTATATGCCTATCTAATAGAGTAGTTGCTATGTCTTCAACAATCACATTTTCTCATGTCTTTTGAATCACAATAATTATATAGCAATTCCAGGGGACTTTTTAGATTTTATATCCAAAGCCTGCAAAATAAAATAGAAGTGATGGAGTATTTGAGACGTGTTTTTTGAAGATGCTTCGCTAAAGTGGTATTACAATTTGCTAGTGAACAACAATTCTTTGAAATACAAAATGTATGAGACAGCCAGGTTATTCAAAACTGTTGTTATCTTTCGTTAAGGTCAGAAATACTGTATTCCTCACCTGCAGTTGACACATTTGGAAATTTTAATAAAACCTCCTTGAAAAAGTGAGCTTATATTTTGTAATAGTTTATTCTGAATAAGACATAATTGCTGCTCACAGGTATGGCTATGAATGGTGACCCCTGCTTCTCATCATAAGATGATCAAATTTTTGGAGTGATTAGGCAGCAAGCTCAGCTGCTGATACTTAACATGTACAATTGCCTTATAATAGTTGCAGTCCGGTCTTTTCTGGTCTTGAAGCACTGTTTATTTTTGGAATGTGTATTGTAGATTAGAAGGCACTATCTTGCATTTTATTTTTAACTTCTTCTATGGTATAATTCAGGTCTGTTTCTTTAGAGCACTGTAATATCTGGCAGAACTTAATGTGCATTACAGTCTGACATGGATCATCTAACCACAAAGCCAGTGCAGTACCAGCAGGTGCAGCCGAGCTATATAATAACTGCATAAGCACTGGATTTCTTTAAAATGCCTGTCACTTTTTTTTAAGGAGAAGTTAGACACAGTAAAAGTGCAGTAAATTTGAGCATAGGCTTGTGATCAGGTGTGTGGCTGGGGCATGAAGAGGAAAGAGCTCTGTGTGTTGAATAATGAGGGCCTGAGTGCTGGATCTCTCAGTAATCATCTTCATGACACTCCTGATGTTTTATGCCCCAAAGCTAGTTGATTTTCAATTTGGGCTTTTTGCAGGTTTATTAGCTAGCCCAATAAAATGTATTTATTGCTTTTTCTGAACTTCGCCTTGTATGCTATTAGAGACTATAGAAGAATTTGTAGGAGGAGTCTTTACAACAGAACAATATTGTTGGCGTGATACTGTTGGGCCTTGCTTTATCTCGTTTGTACTTCTTCATATTGTGTTTTTTTCTACAGCTCACTATCTCTGGCATTCCCTCTCCAGCAAACCTTTGAACTTCCCTGTTTTTCCTTCAAACTAGTTATATTTCTATATAGTCTTGTCATGCAGGACTACATGGAACCACAGAAGAGGTGGGAAATGGGTGTAGAAAAGCACTATGGGAGCAGAGATGCAGGGGAAGTAATGTCAGTAGACAGAGAGGTGAAACACTAGAAAACAGCAGTTAAAGCCAGTAACGGACCTTTGATTTGTGCAGAGTGATCCATGATGCTTCCAAGTAGCAACTCTCACTTGGGAAATACATCACCTTAGCCAATTTAGTATTGGTTAGTTTTAGACTTCTTACTGTGTACAAAGCAGTTGATGAGCAGAGAGCGCAGCATTTACAAATGACTGTAAACCTAGTGTTGACAACAGTCTTTCATCTTAACAATTGAACAGAACTATGTTAATATCTTACATTAATTACGGTCTAATTTCAAGGTAGCCTCCAGATGAATTTTTAGTTTAACTGCAATGTATTGTATCATCTTTCGTTAAAATCAGTGCATCCCAAAAGAGAAAGATCACAAATGCTGAAATTTTAAAGCTCATCTGAAATCTTTATTTTAAATACACACTAATTAGCAAACTTCCCTGAATAGCAGATTTGGACAGCAAACATTTTATTATTGTACAAGAAAACAATTTACTCTGTGCTTTCTGTGCTGATTTTAATGCAGCCTTAACTGTGACATTGTGGTTTGTGTGTACTTAATGAGATTTATGCTAATGCATACAATTAGTAAACTACCTTGATCAAACTGAGGGGCATAAGATAAATATACTTCTGAAGGTCCAAAAGCAAAGTGATTGAAGACTCATTCTTCTCCAATTAAAATGTGTTCTAACACATAGTTTCTTTGGTGCTACCTTTTATTTCCTAAAATACAAGAAATAAAAATACTGATCTTGGGACCTAAGTCAAAATAGTTTGTATGCAGATTTATTGACTTAGGAAATTTTACATAAAACCTGATGTTAATGGCAAAGATGCTAAATCCACATATGGAAGTAGAAATATTCTAAAAAACCCCAGAACTGTGGAAAATACGATTTTTTAGTGGTTTTGCATCCTGAATCCTGCAATCATCACTTGAAAGATGCTAGCTTTACTTCCCTCATGTGCCTTATGACTTTAGCTTTTTCTCTTGTATTTCTAGTTCCCTGTCATCTCATTGCCTGCTTTTTCATCCTTCTCTATTTTCCCTCCCATGCCATTTAATTGCATGCTGGAAAAGAGCCAGCAAAGTGCTACAGCTAGTTTTGAAATATGCCATTGGGTGCAGGCAGATAATTAGAGCAGGCTAAACAGTACAGATGATTGTTGACATGTACCACTTTTCCTTAATGGAGGGGCTAAGATGGAGATTTTTTTTTCTCTCTGTTCATTAATTTTTGTGCAACTTCCAAAAACTTAATACTGTTGATTTCTTACTCAAATTTGGTTGAAAATGGTGAAGAGTGTGAGAAGTTAGTAGTATGCTCCTGAATAAAAACCAGATGCATGGACAGCAAGATCACACAAGCTTGACTTTGTTAGAAAACTGATCTAAACCCCTATTTCTAATTATATGAAGACATATTTTATATGTTGAGCATCTGAGGGAACTGGGATTGTTTAGCCTGGTGAAGAGGAGGCTGAAGGGAGACCTTATCACTCTCTACGAGTTCCTGAAAGGAGGGTGTAGCCAGGTGGGGGCCGGCCTCTTGTCCCAGGCAACTCGTGACAGCACAAGAGGGCATGGTCTGAAACTGCACCCGGGGAAGTTCAGGCTAGAAATGAGGAGGCATTTCTTCACAGAAGGGGTCGTTAGGCATTGGAACGGGCTGCCCAGGGAGGTGGGGGAGTCCCCATCCCTGGAGATGTTTAAGAAAAGACTGGATGTGGCACTTGGTGCCATGGTCTAGCTGACGTGGTGGTGTTAGGGCAGAGGTTGGACTCGATGATCCCAGAGGTCTCTTCCAACCAAATTGATTCTGTGATTCTGTGATCATTAATGAAATAATTTAATGGAAAACATGTTATTAGGTTATATATATAAAATATATTGCAAATGTATATATTAACAGTCTAACTTCTTTATTTTAGCCCAAACTTATTGTAACAGCAAGTTTTGGAGTAGAACCAAAAAGGAAAGTGGAATATGTATCCCTCCTGGAAGGAGCACTGGCAAGGGTACAGAGCAAGCCTGGTAAAGTTCTCATTTACAAGCGACCTAATTTGGTGAGTGTACAGTTGTTGTGCCTTTATATTAACTTCTAGATGTGTACGTAGTGCATTTGCCTTTTCTCTTTTACAAGTAAAATTTTTAGTGTATCCGTTGTAGTTTGTTTTTGAATTTTATGGGAGAACTTCATATTTGTAATATTTAAATAGTAAAATAGAACTAATAGAACAGAGAGAGTACTGTACAGAAAATTGAATAGTAGATGTTTTTTGACGCAATTCCATTTATTCCATCTGTTTTTCTTTTGACAATTTTCTATTTTTCAATGGGCAGGGCCATGTTCCTCTTGCCCCAGGTCGTGATCTTGACTGGGAAGAAGAGCTTGCAAAAGCACAGTGTTATAAATGTGTCTCCATTCCTGCAGACCATCCACTTTATATTCTGTATACATCTGGAACAACAGGCTTACCTAAGGTAAAGGACTATCTGTAGTCTTAAGTGTCTGTGACCAGCCTATTTGCAGTTCCACTTGAGAAAATATTTAATTAAAAAGGTTGAAAACGGTTGCAAGAGCTCAGTGCTATAAATGATAAACATTTCTAGAAATGATTTAATCTCATTTATTCACATTTCACTACTTTAAAGTCAGTGTCTCGGAATAAATCATGTTTGTTTGTTTGTTTAATTAGCAGTAATATAAAGATAAACTGCATTTACTTCAAAGTGTTTGTACAATATAATCTTTTGAGGACAGCAGAATGTCCTTTATCCATTAATATTTTCTGTGTTTTAACTATATCAGATAAGCGTAGTATAGTCATTTAATGGCAAGATTAGTTAATGTATCACTTGTGTGATAGCATTTATTGCTGAATAGGAACTTGCTTTTAAACGGTCATGCAAGTAAAATTACTCAGTTATGATCTTCATAACGAAACTTTAGTTAATGTCAGAGCAGGAACTAAGGTAGAAGCTGAGACTAACAAAGGCAATCTGCTTTCTGAAATTCTTCAAGTGTTAGTTAACCATTCTCTGCTGTGGCGATCTCCGTTTCAAAGAGTTAATATGTCTCCACGGTCCCTCGTTTCTTGGTTGAGGCCTGAAAGTGCCTATTTCATTCTATTAACTACATAAAGAGAATGTACTGTGCCTAGCACAGACACATAGTTGCGTTGTAATGTCTGCACTGTAGACATGTGTTTGGTCCCATGAATCTCATCTGAATTTTAGTTCAGGACATCAGGACGTAGTTTACTTAATTCTTTCTTCTAGAAACAGTGTACTAGAAGATGATGAAGTGTATATTAAACATAGAAATACTATAAAATATTTCAAAAACTTTTCCTATTAACAGTGTTCCAGAGACATTTTTGGCTTACCAAGGTGCATGATGCTATTGATACTCTCTCTCATTCTAATTTTCAAATCCCTCTTTTAGACTAAGACTAGGATGTTCTTTGTTTTGCATTCATATGTATACTTCGGGCTAGATATTAAACCTTTCAAAGATAGACACCTGATTTAAACCAATTTTCTGACATCTTTAAAAAGAGTCAGTGCAGAAAGAGGGGTAGATTTCAGGGAGTAAATCAGGACAATTATTTTAGGGATCAGCTACACCAGGTGCTCCTCTTTTCAAGCAAAGATACAGAGAGACTAGGCAATGAATTTAAAACATGACTAGCATTTAGATGGCCACAGTTTAAGTGACGTAAATACTCCATCTCTTACTTTTTGTCAACATGTGTTGACTAAATATTTGTATATCTGATTTTAATGACAGAATTCTAGTTTTGTTATCTATATTCTAAAAACTATTGTCATCTAGACATTGGGTTGGGTTTTTATGTTTGTTTTATTGTCTATGTGCGTGTTTGTTTTCCAAAATTATTTCTTCAGTGGGAATGCTAGCACAAGCATGTACTTGTTGTAATGGAACCTTTTCCTAAGTGAGGAGTACTGGTATTAGAAAACTTTAAGTCTATTGCTGTTAAACTCCCAAAATTTCATTGAAAACAGGAATATTATTGCATCCTTCAAATGATCTTAGATATTCAAATTTTCTCATTTAGGGTGTTGTCAGACCAACAGGTGGCTATGCAGTTATGCTGAACTGGACAATGTCAGCTGTATATGGACTCAAACCTGGTGAGGTAATTCTGTTTAAATGCCATGTAAAAGTTTTTGAACTCCTCTTAAAAATTCCTCACTTCATTAATGTTTTTATTTCATTTTAGGTGTGGTGGGCGGCTTCTGATTTAGGCTGGGTTGTTGGTCATTCCTACATTTGCTATGGGCCTCTCCTTCATGGGAATACTACTGTTTTGTATGAGGTATGATCCATTCTAAAAAGCCAGCCTTTGGAAAAGGCAGCA